CCGCCTTAAATCTTTGCGCTATTTTGTTCAATGCTTTGACGCGACAATCTTGTCGATTATTCGATCATCGATACATTGACATCGATTTTGTTGTATCAGCTGTGGAAGCTGATACTAGTGAAACAACAACCGTGACTCTTTACTTATCTTCGAAATTTCTAAATCGATCAGATGTAACTTACTGAACTGATTATTAATTCCGAAACGTCGCAAATAAACAATGGAAAATTACTAAACAGAGTTGTTTATTATTATTACGTAATCCCTAATCGTAATGATGGAATCGAAAAGTTCGAAATTTCTAAATCGTGGACATTTGAAAGAAGTGCAGCGTTCCTGATGTGTATTTGTTTTGATAAAAATTGACAATCGGGGAGGCACGTTTGAAATAAATGCCGGTACCGTAATCACACATGGCCACTTACTTCTTGGATCTTATAGCTGGTCCGGATGGTTTTGCGTTTAGTGGTGGTGACCTCGTAAGTCTCCTCGACGGTGGGCGCCTCGTCGTCCTCGTTGTTGTTGCCATTATTGTTGCCGGTGTTGGGAACATCCTCACCGTTGGCTGACGCCCTGTCGGGATCGAGGACGTCCGTCGCATCCATCCCCGTGTTCTCCGTATCAGCTTCCAGGTTGAACGATCGTGTCAACGAACGAATCAGAGAGATTATCGAGAGTAACTCGATACGTATACTTTCGTTATCGATACTTTCTGTTGTTTTTCCCTTCTCTCTCTCTCGCTCGCTCGCTTATTCTCGTTCGTTATGCACAGAAGCAGAAGTCGAAACCGAGGTCACGTGACGGTGGAATTACAAGAGCAATGGCGGAATTCGCGGCACGTACGAGACCGTATGAGAATCAGGCTCGTGGAACGGGCCGCGCGAAAAACTTTCGACGAGCAACGTCTGCGGACGAAACTATTCCGGGATCGACGAAGTTCTGCGCGAAGCGGAGAGACTGACCGTACTAAAGCACCGCGGTTCGAGAAACCCGCGGCCGAACGCGTTCCCGCGCGCCTTTCAACCAAAATAGATCGCCAAGCTTTCCCGAAGGAACTGCACGCGCGTCGTAACACCGCGTACCCCCAGTGACGAATTCGTCGTTTACTCCAGACGATAAATGATAAACTCGCGGCGAGTCGATACTCGAGTTCGATCATCACTGTCCACGATCAACAACCGGGTCTTCCTCCGCGTTGAAATCCGCGTCCATCACCGCTCGAACACACGCGTCTACAAGAAGCCGCACAACCGTCAATCGTCAGACATATCGATTAGGGAAGAGATCGATTGCTTCGATACACAATGGCTTCCTTCCGTGTGTCCCCCCACGTGCCTATCGTTGGTAGTTTTTATTTCGCGTTATCTTAACTCGACTGTTTCCTTCTCGTTGCGCGATTTCGTCGTTGGATTTATTATGTCATGTTCCACGGAAGATGAATGAATCTCGCAACTTCAAATTCGAACAAATAACGACACCAGTGTTCCCGAGATTTTGTTCCGTTCGAAGGTAAATTTGAAATGTACTTAGATATATAAATATATATATATATATATATAT